TTTGACCTCAAAAAGTTTCCATCCTACAAAAACGATTTTATTTTTTAAAGAAGTCAAAAAAATCTTGGAGTATTATTTTGTAGTTTGTTTTTTTTTCTATCCAATCATGGACAGAAATAACCGAAAATGGGAAAAAAACAAACAGAAAAATGGTTTGGTTCGAGTGTAAATCTGCGTCAAATGAGGTGCATTTGTAAAATCTTTTTACACCCACCTGACAACCAACTGCTATGCTATACTACTGTCCAATTATCAATTTGTATTTAATGGTGAATGTAGTCTGACGCCATGACCAATATATATCAAGTAAGTTTCAGTGGGGGGGTAGGGGGGTTTGGAAAAAAACTAAAGGAATTAAGTTTTTTATCCGACATCGATCTTTTGACGTCTTCCCTAATCTGTCTTGTATCGAAGTAAAGGATCTTACACATTTCAAAAATACTTAATTAAATTTGTCCCCTTGTTGTGAACATCCGTGATCCCTCAACAATAGCTCAATTCATGGAACATATTTTTACACTTCATCTTTAAATTAGTCTGCTTGGTAGATTGTGTAATACTAATATCTAATTGCGTTGTGTATGCTTTCTTTAACTATTTGAGCAACGTATAGTTTTCATATTGGTGCAGCGTTTTGCTGTTTTTATGTATTTTAAAAAAAAAATTGCTTTTGATAATTTTTGACCAAATGATCATGATATCCTATTGACTACAAGTCTTGAAAAAATTAAAAATTTAAAATTATAATAGTTGAATTTGTCATAAATTTATTGAAGCAGTAGTGTATGTTTGGCACTTTATACAGTGGATCTGTTCTTACTGCCTTCGTTTGCTCTCAGAGTACATTTACATCTGTAATGTGCTTAGACCAGGATGATTAATAAAAATTACTCTATTTTTGCCCTTTTGGTTGGGTTCCTAAGTCAAAAATCAAGTTAAGTCAGCTAATTGACTGCCAGGGAGGTCAGTCTTCAAGAAAGATTAAAATTGTGTGTGACTGTATATGTGATTCTTTTGTTTTTATACTTATTTTGTTTATAAAATGTGAATTTCATTTTACCGAAATACAAATTCATAACTATAACACGATATTTTTTAAGATGACTGTATCAAGGATTTTCTGTTACGTCAATGACACAGTAGTGAATTAGCACACCTACACGTAGTTGCGTCACAGAAGATCTATTTGCATCAGTGGTGTATCCTATAGGCTTAGTGAACACACTAGTAATGGTCTATAACCTATCTCAATTTGCACAGAAATCATTACTCTACCAAATTCTAATCAATGTTCTCTCTATTCCTTATCTTCACAACAAATATTCGCTTTTAGTAATTTATTTTATTTTTATTTTTTCAAATCTACAATGTACCTGATTCAAGGTTCAGGGATATTTTTTTTTTTTAAATCACTAATCTACACAAATTTGGCTTCCTACAGTAATGGCAATATTATAGCATTATGGTTGTCAATGTATTAAATGTTTACCGTGTAGCTAGGCCTGGATGTTGAATACTGTAAATGTGTTAATTATTCACGGGTTTTTAATTCACTATTTTTGCAGATGAGCTCATTGTTTACCTGCCAAGTTCGTGAACTTAAAACCCAGTGAAGTTGACCAAAACATCAAAATACGGTAGTGAAATTAAATGTCAGTGAAAATAAATGGTTTTACAGTATTCATTTTCTGTCTAGACCATAACAACTCAAGGATAAAATCTTTAAAGTTATCTGTGCAATATTTTAAATTCTGTTCATACGCACATTTCCCAGAAGCCTCATCTTGTGTTTTCTGGATCACAGCTATGTTGTGTAGAGTTACACTGTCATTGTGTTGGTATTTAGAAAGTAGTGTATTAATGTCGCTTGTATGTACATGTGTGTATGATGTTAGGGATTACCGGATAGTCTCAAATTTAATATCAATTGCTAACTCAAAATATGCTGGAAAAAGAACTGCTGTTTCAAGACTAGTAGTTAGCTTGTCTTCCCACAATGCAGCAGAAATTCTTTATTAATTTTCTAATACAATGTGTCAGTGAGCGAATAGCGACTTTTAGGCATGATAATTCATGTTTCATTGCAACTACTTGTAAGTTGTAGATTGTGAAAGAAAGGAGGGAATTATAGCTCCAGGCATGTTTGATTCCTGTTGATCCCAAAGCATCACAATCTTTTGTAAGACTATTTTACAGTCTCAAATCGCAGAAATAAAGAAAGAAAAATTTGAGGGAGGATAAAAATTTGAACTTTATACTGCAAAAAATGCACATACTTCTCATCATGGGTGATGATAATTCAATGCATCATGTCTGAAAGTTAGCAGTACATACCAGTGCATTTCAATGCAAACATCACAAGATTGCATTACGTGGTTAAAAATCCTTATTGTAACTTGAAGCGTCAGGGAAAAACCATAATAATACAATGCACAATATTTAAACAATGTCTTGTTTATTTGGAGTAATAAATTACTCATAAAGGTGTCTGACTAAATTTGTGTACATATTGGAATGCCGAAAGTGTATATTTGACTACATGTTGCATTTCGCACCTCACATCTGATTTACAGAAAACAGGCCTTAATTTCGTGGAAAATGCTTGTGAATTACCTTAGTTACAGAAGACTTTTTAGGAGTGTTGGTGGCAAATCACTGTGACTTTCGCAAAGTTTTATCGTCCTCGCAAATTTCCTCTAATTGTAAATATTTTAAAAGTTGAAAAGAAATGATTTACAATCATCAAGACTCGTAAACATGCAATGTATATTGAATTTGGGTCTCTAAAAATAAATCTATAAAACAAAGTTAACTCTGAAGTGGCTATAACTGCTGATAATGCTTCAGATTTGTTAAAATTCAGCTCTTGAAATTAAACCTATCGAAAAAATGTACCACCTGCATTTTGAGACAACTCCTTCTTTCAGAGGGACTGAGTGAGACTCTGAGAGTATTTAAAAAGATTAGCTATTTTAGGCAACATGTGATCTGAGCATGATCTTGTGATTAATGGTCCTGCTTATGAATCTCCATGGACTTAGTGTAGAAATAATAAATGTTAAAAAGAGTACCTAACTTGTGTTGGCAGACGGTATGATGAAGTGTTTCCTGGGCTTTGTAGGTCACACTTCAATATTTCCTGTATTGTCCCTAGAGAATTCATCGGCACCATGTGATGTCTCAACTGGAGACTGGTGTCCATGGCTGAATTCATATGTAAATTAGCTGTGCTGGGTGGCTTTACTAGAAGATATAATGACGTCTTCCATAAATTAATCAGAAATGCATATGATTGAACTGAGCTAATGATTTGGGTCAAAACTGATATTTTCGGCTTCTCAAAAGCTGATTGCTTTCATATCTTATATCTCTTATATAAGCATTACGCGTATCATAGCAATATATCTTGTTTTCTATTTTTAGCAACTAGTTTTCAGTTTGAAGTGATATATTTGACTTTTCAAAAACCATATAAAGCCAGATTGCATACATACATACATATATCGACCATGCTAGACACTATTAAGGTGCGTCTGTCATGACTATTTCTGATTTTATGATATCAGAAATTTGAAAAAATCTATTCAGATTGAACCCTTGCTATTAAGCTTTAAAAGATGTACGAGTTCTTTACTTTGAGGGTACATTGTAGGTTGACTGATATGTTTAAACTCTGATTATTTAGCATTGTTCTATAATGGCAATTAAAAACAATTAAAATTAAAAGTTTTTTTTCTGCCAAGGTTGACTTCTTATTTGCGGCTTTAACATGTATGTAAGCATGTCACAACTAATTTCAGGTCAGATTTTTGGTTGTTCATTTACTTAAAAACTGACCAACTATGTTATTATATGTTTTGCAGAGTTGTTGATTTGTATTCTTTTCTGAAAATATGAAATTAGTAATGTTGGGCTGAAAATAGTCCTCTGGAGGGCTGAAAATTGTCCTCTTGAGAGCTGAAAATGGTCCTCTGGACGGCTGAAAATGGTCCTCTGGACGACTGAAAATGTTTACATACATGCTTAGTTTCATTTATGTGTTGGACATTCATAGTTTTGAAGATGTACTTTTTTGTAATTTTTTGTAGTTGGGTTTCTAATTTTGAAAAATGGTAGCAGTCTTTCTTGTGTCTTGTCAATTTTTGAGTTTTGTTTACATGATATTATAATTAATTATACTGATATCTTCGTTGGACTATATGCCCTAGATTAATATCACCCTCGTGACCCAGTTACTTTTCATGACTATGTAAGGTGATGACAAGGTGTGGTTTTGATGATGTCATATATCACGTTGTGACATCATAGAAGCCTATCTTTGTATCAGTTGATATGTTTGAATGAGTCTTTCCATGCCACTATTATGGTTTGAAGGATTCATGGACTTGCGTGTCTCTAGATCACTCCCTAACATGCTGTGAAGGATTTAGATATTTACATGTACTACTGTAGAATTATGAAGCACACATTCAATCACAGGTGGTTACATTGTATATTTCCGGATTGACCACATCTTTCATCTCTATTGATACTATAGTCTAGAAGTTAAATTGTATATCCGGTTCCGTGCATTCATGTATGTATCATATTTTACCCTTTGAGTTCAATTGTTTCTCCCGTCAAAATTTCTGTGCAATATTGTGTGCATTTTTATGTATTTGTCCATAATTGCTTTGGTAATGTTGGACCAAATAGATATGTCATATTGGCTATATCTATCGATCATTTAAAAAAAAATATGGTATGAATTCAGTAAGGTGATCCTGTTAGTTAATGTAAACAAGCCAGGTGTATCTGGTGAAGTAGCTTGTTGCTACTAAATCTTAATTTTGAGTCTGTCAGAATATAAACTCGGTAATTCTAGTATTTGAGGTGTGAAACCTGTAAAATATGCGTGTATTCACTGTATGTCAGAGTCACTATCTGTTCAGTAGAACTCTATTCACTTCACAGATAGTTTTCTTCAAAATTATTCTAAACACTTATGGTTTATGGATTGGGTTTCGTTTTGTCTGTCAAATTTTCTTCAAATTTAATGGTCCAATTTCCCCAGACTTAGTAAATAGCTGATACACTATGGTATACATATCCTTCACATTGTTTCCTGATCAGATACAAAATGACTGACTGGCGAATATTTTGACCTAAAGACCTACATTTTATTTGTGTAGAGCATTATCACCTATTTGTGCGGACTAATTCTGTTCAAACATGGGATATTGGTAAAGCCTATTGGCTTATTAAGACGCATCTATTATTCAGCATTTGTTTGCAATAGGCTGATGAGTTCCATTTTGTATGTTATTTTGGTCATCATAACTTTAAAATGCAAGTTTATTCAGTCGTTGTTTGATATTTGAAGTGTACCTAATTTTTGTGAACAATTTGTTTGATGGAGTTCAGTTGACTTGTCTCAACAGTCAGAACCAAACTATTTTTCTATGGGTTACTGTAACTGCGTTTTGTGTATTGCTTGACTAAAAAATCACAAATTTAAATTTACTAAAAAGTGGTCTACAGTCACACCCCCCATTGTGTTAGGTTGGACATGTTCTTGTGTTCGAGCAAGTTTGAATAAATGTATCCAATTAAATTTCCATTTATAATACTTATGTATGACAGAGGTCATGTGACTGTCTTGTACAGAATTCTTATGCATTATATATGCATGTAGATAGATAAATAGTTAGAAACGACAACCGAAATTTCGTCAACGGGTATGATAATAATGTTTACTTTACAATGTTTGTTATTCGCATACTGACAAGATTCTTATTTTTTTTTTTTTTGCAGAATCAAAATAGTTATCATCATTGCGTTGATGCGCTTGAAAAGGAGAGCATTAGATACATGTATGGACCATTTGAGAGTGCTTCAAGCATGGACATGTCAAACCAGTTTCAGAATTTACATCTTAACCAAAGCGAGCAAAAAAACCACCAAGGTTCTAATAGTTCAAAAGGTGGTTTGGGACATAGTGCCAGTTTTGAATCTGGGACAGCTACTAGTAATGAACAGTTTTATCCAACACTGGAGGCACAATCTGCTCCAGTTGTGTCAAATTTTCGTCCTTTTAGTCATGGGTGTCGGAACAGTCCACCAAAATATACTTCAACGTACATGACAAATGTTCCTCGAGTGCAACCGCGGCAGCAGCAGAATCGACAACAACAACAACAACAACAACAACATTTATCCCAATATACCCACAGTCCATCACCTGGTCAGTTTAATACTTCTTACAATAGAAGTCCATCTGGCAGCTTCTCTAACACAACACCTAATGCAACTACTGTAGGGACTTACGGCTATAATCAGTCTCCATCACAATACTCCAGTACATCGCAGCATCAAACCTATCCAAACATGTCGCATTATGAGACTCCCGGCTCGAGTTCCTCACATCAACAGTACACCTCTCCTGGCAGTTCAAGGCTCAGTACGTCACCGCAGTATGTCAATGTAGCGCCGAATACGTCTCAACACTATACCAGTCCTGGCCACAGCTCATCTCAGCAGTATGCCAGCTCTAGCAGTGTTGGACCATCGCAACATTATACGAGTACAGCTCCTCCCAGTACATCACAACAATATGCCAGCCCTGGCAGTGTCAGCGCCAGTACGTCGCAACAGTATGTGGTTGCAGCCAAAGTTGGGCACCAACCGAACTATACAAGTCCAGGTTCTACACCCAAACATTACAACCATTACTCAACCGCTTCATCAGATGTGATTCCATACCAGCCTATCTCACTTTTCCAAGGTGGAAGCACAGGAACATTTACGCATCCACGGGATACAACTTACGGTAGCGGTCCCACTCAGATTCAGAGACATTACACTGGCACTTCTGGTGCCATCTCGCCGCAGCCGCCTCCACCATCTTATAGCTCATCACATTATTTTCCTATGAATCAACCCCAAACAAAGCAGCAAAATAGAGCTTCCTATCCACCAAGTTCATTCAGTAACTACAATGTAAGGTATCAAACACAGTACAGTCTGGATCCCTCAGCTGCTCCAGGTAGTACAAACAGTGGACAACAACAAAGTGTAGTAAGTTCTGTGAGGTACATTCCTTCACAATCATCAAGGGCATCTAATTTAAGTTCTAGTCCAGCTGAGGAAAGTTTATTAAATCGCAGTATAGAAGGCACTGCAACTCCGCCTCCTCCAATACAGCCATTGTCACCTGCATCTAGCCATAGTAGTCTGTTAGAGAGTCCACTCGATGATCAGCAAGCAGCTACTTCAGGATTAACAAAGGAACAAGAAGACTATGCATATACACAAGGTAAAGGCTGTATATAATGAAATCAGTCCCTGGTGTTTACACAGATTTAACTTTTTTGGTGTTCAGTTTAGACAGGTTTCACTGTATTAGTCTCTGGTGTTCAGTTTAGACAGGTTTCTCTGTATCAGTCCCTGGTGTTCAGTTTAGACAGGTTTCACTGTATTAGTCTCTGATGTTCAGTTTAGACAGGTTTTACTGTATTAGTCTCTGGTGTTCATTTTAGACTGGTTTCTCTGTATCAGTCCCAGGTGTTCAGTTTAGACAGGTTTCAATGTATCAGTCTCTGATGTTCAGTTTATACAGGTTTCACTTTATCAGTCTCTGGTGTTCAGTTTAGACAGGTTTTACTGTATTAGTCTCTGGTGTTCAGTTCAGACTGGTTTTACTGTATTAGTCTCTGGTGTTCAGTTTAGACAGGTTTCACTGTATCAGTCTCTGGTGTTCAGTTTAGACAGGTTTCACTGTATCAGTCTCTGGTGTTCAGTTTAGACAGGTTTCACTTTATCAGTCTCTGGTGTTCAGTTTAGACAGGTTTCTCTGTATCAGTCCCTGGTGTTCAGTTTAGACAGGTTTCACTTTATCAGTCTCTTTGGTGTTAAGTTTTAGACAGATTACATGGGAATATTTAGACATGTGGACTGATGTGAAAATTTATCACTAAGATGGACTCGACCGTCAGTGTTATGTCTAATTAGCATAAATTAACATATGAATTGATAGTGTATTTTTGAAAAATAAGTTTCTTTATGGCAATCTTAGTTGGTCATCTGATAAAAAGGGTTATCACCTTGACGCACTCTGTCATTGTAGATCTGTAACACTCATGGCATCTCTGTAAGTCCTTGACGTCATTTGTATGGACAAGCCCAGTGATAAACTAGTAGTGTCACCTCAATTTGACGTCAGAACATCAGGGTTATCAGGACTTATATGATACAGGATTGGAATACTTCCATATCTTCCACAAGTCTGTCAACTTTAATACCACAATGGAACGTTGAAATTCACATTTTATTTGGAGGATCCACCAACACAGAAAATAACCACTCGAATTTAAAAAAAAAAAATAAGTTTATATCGTATGGGTTACTGACAATAATTCAGTACACTGTAGTGGTTGAATTGTTTTCTTATCAGAATTCAAATACAGCATTAAAAAGGGTATCACATTAGAAGTGCACAGAAACCAAAAATGAAATGCGAGATCATTGAAATATACGCTTATTTTGACCATGGACCAACAGTATCACTTGATTTTGCTTAGTATATTAAACTCGCTGACAGCTCTGGGGATAATATAGGGAAATTCTTGTTCATCATAATAAAATCAAACTCTTGTTTAATATGAAGGTATTCTATTAAAGTATGACCTGTAGAAATGCACTTCACCGACTTTCTCTGCTGTCTTTAAAGTTAGATACGTGTATAACGTATGTGAGCCCTTCTGAAATTGCAATATTTTACAATTCTGAAATATGTCAGTGCCAGTCTTATACAAGTAGATTCTTAATCTGGTTTTTGTATGTCACTTCTGAAACTAGTATTGTCTGTGTCATGTTTCTTGCATTTTAACTTTGTTGTTGTACTCGTTCAGTCGCATTGTCCATGTTATATTGACTCCTGTTACTTGTCCACGAGTGACAGGAAGGAAGCAAATTATGTTATGTATTTAGCCTAGTTTTGACAGTTCATTTAAAGTCACTAATATTGTATACTTGTTTGTTGGTAGCGTTGCTATTACACCAAAAGGCCAGATGTGATAGACTTATACGAGATTTAGAAGTTGAGAAAAAGACGTTAGAAAATTTCAGGAGAGAAGTTGAAGGTTTAGAAACTGAGTTAATGGATAGAAAAGTCCGAAGCTCACAATTGCCAAGGGTACGTACCGATACATACATTAACGAGAATTGTACAGAAATGGTTCTTACAGAGTTATGAGTTTATGAACTAGAGCGTTTTAGTTTCATTCATTCATTCTTTCATTTATTTCTAAGATATTCTTATGCAGGGTCCATTGCAGGATTATGTAGCATATATGTAGTCCATGCTTGGTTCTCTTACACACCTAGACTACCGTATTCACTCTGTTAATAGCGAATGTGCTTACGTAATGGAGAGGTGTGTCTATGGTCAAAATTATCCATTTTAACAAAACACCTGCTACAAAAATCTGTAGGGAAAAAAGGGCATCTGAAAGTCATGCATTAATGATCCAGTATACAATAAGGAAGGATTCCTTTTGCACACCCTATCCCTATCCCTAACCCTACCCCTACCCTCCAGTGCTACACAATTTAATTGTCTATGTCCCTCCTAAAGATGCCTATAGTTATCTAGAGGGGACATGTACGATTGAATTTGAGGGGTGGGGTGCAAAAGGAACTCTTTCTCACAATCACTGCAATATTTCATTTATGTGCACATCTATTGAAGATGCACTGCTAAAACACAAAGTCATGAAGATGTTTGATTCTGACAAACAAATGAATAAACAAAAAACTAAAATAGCAACAGACTTTTGTGGCATTAGAATAATTTCTCAAAGGCTTTGTTCATGCAATACATTTATTTAGGAATTACAAGATATTACGGTAAAGCCACAGCAAAGTAACTCAGCATTTTAACTTTTAACATTTGGGATTGAAAATGTCTTCAAACATTGTTCTCTTTTTCACATACTGTAAAATAATTTATTTTAGCTGGAATTAATTTTGTATGGAATTTATTTTCATTGATTTTTAACGAGTTTAATGTAAAATATAAGCAAAATGGTATATTCGCTTGATTTTTATTTTCACTGAATCATTCCTTCAACGAAAAATAGCGAAAATTAATTCCAAGCAAAATAAAGTATTTTACAGTACTGTACCAGTTCTATTCTTAGTAAGAGCTTATAATCGTGACAATACTTCAGAGCAAATATGGTGTTTTCAATATAGCAAAGAAACAGCATGTACATATGAGCAGCAGACACAGTGGTAAGCCAGTGTGTGGTAAATTCATTATTATTGGCAACCATTCAATTTTAATATCTTCTTTTCTTGCAGTTAGAGCACATTGCTAGATTAAGAGCTGAAAATAGAATGTTACAAACAGATATCAATTGTATGTCAAAAGAAGTTGAAGTCATAGCCAATGAGAACGGTAAGTACCGTACATGGAAGATTTACAATGGTTCTGAGAATTGTCCGGACAGTCACTTAGCAAGATGACACTTCGGTTTTTGTCCAATATAGACTTGGCGGTGCTTTTCAATCGACATCTGCGCAGTTTAGTTCATTCCAGCAGTTTTTTTCAAAATAATATGCGTTCTTGAATCACATAGTTATTGAATATGTACACTATATTGTAGATTAGCAAATTATCATGTTTACAATCCCTATAAAATAGTAGATCTAACACATCACGCTATCATTCAGAAGGCCCTGTCAAGTAAAAGCTTGCAAGCCATCTTGCTGACTGTTTGTACAAATAATTTTCAGAACCACTGTAACATGAGCTCAGAGACGCTTGTTGCTTGCAAACAGCCATTAACCATTAGGCGATCATGATTTTGATAATTTATACCACCTTGTCTCACATTGCTAAGGTTTTGGTCAGCCAATCAAATTTTCATTTTGAATAGCTTAATGAATAGTCAATTTATCGCATATGCAGAGTGGTATATTCTGTACTTTAACTTATACATGTATTTCATGCTATAACCAGGTTATGAAATATAACCACGGACATTTTAGAACTCCATTCATGATGGCCGTGGTGTAGTATTGTAACAGACTGGATAACATTCATTATTTCTTGACAGATGCTGAACAGAGTAGTAGTTTTTATGGAAATTTTACAACTGGTGCTCCTGGTCCAGTTCCGCCCAAACCACCAAGTGAGTATACTCATGTGTAATTAAATTGTTTGACAGAGTGAAACAAACAAATTTGTCACGCCTTTATTCTTGCATGGCTTACATTGGATATCATTGGCCGGGTAAAGCTATTTTTTCATGAATGAAAGTTATAATAAGTGGCCCAACATATGAAATTGACAGAGTAATTTGCATATTCACACAGACTTGTGTTAATGGTGTCTAATAGAGATAATACAGAGATGTGGTGTTACACGTCTTATTGATCTATACTCAGTAGCATCACGAACATAAAATCATTTTTCTTTTAGCATTAAGAGTAGTCTGTGTTATTTTCTAAAAATCATGACTGCAAAATAATACTTGCGGCATTTACATCGATATTAGATCTTCTTAGAAAGGATGATCAGCCAGAGTACATCCTTATGTATTTTTATGTATAGTGTAAGTATGGATGAATTTATTTACTGTATACATGTAGTAATCAATGTTCTCTCACTTCTCACAGCACCGTCAAAATCTGCCCATTCGATGATACCACCAGCACGACCACCTCCACCGTTGCCAGCGAAAAAACCGCCGCCGCCACCACCAGTCAAGACGTCAGACCCTGATGAAGGACAACAGTGGAGCTGCGTGCATTGTACTTTTTTAAATCATCCCGCGTTGGACAAATGTGAAACGTGTGAAATGCCACGGGTTGTGTAGGTGCTAAAGTTGACCAATCACAACTTAGCCAGGATGTTTTTTTTTAGCCAATCATGGAACTTGAACTACAGACTAAGTCACTGTGATTGGTTGCTGAATTTTGACAGTTACACTTGATTGGTTGAGTAATCACATCAGTAATTTTTTAAAAAAAAGTCTTACTTCTGGTATTCTTCACTGGAAGTTTTTAATAAGATTTCCTTAATATTTCAATCATGTAAAAAAGGAAAGAAATTTTACATCTATGTTTGTAGACAAATCTGAAATTTGAGTTCAAATTTGTAAGTAGTATTTTTCTATTAATGACAAGTTGTTGACTGAGTATCCTAGGCCTTGACTGTCAGTATTTGCCATCTGAATGAGCATTGTTTTTTATAATTCATATTTGTATATGCTATAAAACAATACAATTAGGGGAATTTGTAAATATTCTTCATATTCCTTGTGAATGTTGACTGCACAATGCTAAATAATGCATCAAAGTCCAATTCCTCTAATTGTCCCAATATGAAATGTGTATTCAGAATTGCACATTCTCTAACTAATTAACTTATATGTAATTAAACTATGTTAGCTCTATATTTACAAAAATAAATAGTAAATTTATACATTTAATGAATTATGTTATCAGCAAGGGTTGCAAGTTAGATAAAGGCAAGTCTTTGCACCACTACCATGTCTCAGGAATTTATCCAGTATAGACTGTTGTCATAGCAACATCATCTAGCTCAATATTTGCGGTCTATATAAATTTCTACCGCAGTCTCTGTTCTGCTTTTTAGTGGGTAAAGGCAGAAGTGGAGCAACAACTTGAATAGTAGATCTATCCACGTTCCAAGGTCTCTACAGAAAACGTGTTGTATCAGTGTACAATTAACACATTTGACCATGAATTTGATTGAAAATTGTGTCATCATATGCATTGCTGGTCTGTAATATAGAAACATGCTTACATAGTTTGTTGGCCTTTTTTATTGATATGCAATTATTTGGAAAATCCATTTTGTGTGATTCAACTGCAACTCTGCTCCTCAGAGGTCGTGGACATTGATGTGAGATACCGTCACTATAGTCATAGTGGTATAACCTAATAAAATTTGTATTTGATTGCATTAATACATGGAAATGTGCATATAATCCTGGCTTGTGTTTTCACTTCTTTTATTTGATATATAATCAAAAATACATCGCAGGTGATAACGAATACTAGTGCAGCACGAAATATTTTTAGTTATTGAATCCATGACTAATTCAGATGGCAATTTCGCTGTTTTTCAGACCTAGGTTTTAGGTTGTTAATAGAAATACTTTGGGAATTGTGCATATGATTAGTGTTTGCTTCCGTAACATGGTTCTTAATAAGTTATACACTTTCATTTACAACAACAAAAAACAATTTATGTTTTTTTATGATTTATTTTTTTCAGTGACTGCCTTCTCCATATTTATAGGAAATGTGTATATTCATGTTATTGTCTGTTAAGCAAGCAAGCAAGCACAGACGGAAGGAGGGAGAGAGGGAGGGTGGGCTGAGTGCCATTTGATACATTATAAAATGGGTGTACCCAACTGTTTTTCCTCAAAACTTGCATTTGTAAGGTTTCATCATCCTTGGATGACAAGATAATAGTATGTGATGAAATTCTCGGTGAAATCACACACAGTGCAAGGGTAGTTCCTTGCAAGTTCAAGAAATTAGCAAGCTTATTGGACATGGAATTCTATTGAAGAAACACATTCTGTAAATATGCAAAAACAAACTACAACCGGAGATGGACACTAACAAATTATTTTCCAGACTTGTTAACTTGCATTTGTATTTTTCTAGAAATGTTCAATTGTCACGATCAGTTTGACCTTCAGTGTATTCTCAGGGGTGGAGCCAAGTCACAATACGTTCTGTGCTACTATGACGTGCACCCACTGTACAATGTATTTCTATGGGGTCTGCGCCAGCTGTTGTAGAACACTGGTCGAAGAGCCGGTGAAAGTCGAGAAAAGAGCACAAACTCAACTATCAGACGTTCTTGAACAACCAAATTTATATAAAAATGTCTGGATGTTGTTCCCAATAATATAACCACATTTGCATACCCCTGTTTCGTTCTCTAATGTATATGAATCCAATTACAAATGCTTATTTGATTATTCATGGTGCTACAGCTGCTGTAATTAAAAGTGTCAGTTGTTGCATCACGTCATGTGGGTCCCATGTAACATGAAATTTGAGTACACTGATACACTTCAAATAAATACCAAGGAAATGTACTATGGATAGGTTGACTTTATGTTTGTTTATTTCCTATTTATATGTCCAATATTAAGATTTATAACATTACCCCTGGAATCAAACCCTCCCTCTGACCCTCTATCAAAAGTGCATTCTCTGTTCATACTGAAATATTCTTGAAAAAAGCCGTGTAATCTGTGCTAGGTACCATACAACCTATAGCAATAATAGAGATAATAAAAATAGAGCCTTTGGCCAACCCATGCCTGACTGGATAGTTCTTGAATTTACCACACTATACACCTCATGTATGTGACAAGACTTTCAGCCTGTTTAGTCAGTGCCTTCTTCGGATGTATGCTATTTGTTTCTTTGTTCATTATTCATTATTTATACATGCATACAGACCTTGCCTTTCCAAAACAAAATGTAAATCTTGTGGTTGATTTCTGCTAAGTAACAGGAGCTATACTTAATGATTGGTTAGTCTTTGCCATGTGACTTATGTTAATTGATATTCAGATATGGAAGATGTATAGCCCCATCGCTGACTAATGTATTACATTATTTCTTTTTTTTCTTACATAATGTTATGTACTTTTCTACTTTAAATGCAGTTTGTTTTGACATCAAAACAACACATGTTGTATATGGAATAGGCTATCAAAGCAAGAGGTGATAAAAAAAACTTGTTTATGTCTATGTATAAATGTTGTTTTTTTATGAATACTTCTATTATTTGTAGATTTTCTCTTATGTCTAATACTCGATAAATCAAATCTCAGTCGCTAAGGGTCTTTCACAAGAAGCAAGAATGAAAGGGCTCCTACATGGCAAGGTCAAGCCAGTGTCCAACATGTTATAAATTGTTTGCTAATTATCATTCTTTTAATAATTTCTCTAAGCTTTTTTATTTCTCCTCATTGCTTGGTAGTCCCTTGGTAGTTTTTAAAGAGGCTCTGAGGCATACAAATTTTCTACTGCATAATATTTATATTTTTAAACAAATTTCTGTATTTGTTATGGTCTCCTGACTTTCTCTGTATGCAGAGAATTGTATCTAAAACATGACGTAATGCCCTGTGATTGCTTCTTGTGAATGCGCCCTCTATGGTTACTGATTATGTGGTGGATGGTGCCCTCTATAGTTACTGAAATGTGGATCAAATGACCAACTGATAAATCCTAGCTGTTTAACCGCTTAGTACTAAATTTACACTTTTGTTAAAATTTGAAATAAAATGACATCAGAATTCATGTTGTATTGTTTCATTTTGTCTCGTATAAATCAGAATAGTTAAGTGCATGCATAGTCTTTAAAATTATTTCAGCGTTGGCTCTAGAGTTAAAATATATTTTTTAGTGTGACCACTAAATCCTACTAAAAAAAGGTGAAAAACTCAAAGTATTTTACACTAAGTAGATATAACCAAAAAAAAACAAAATCTTAGCCAGTCAAGGTTAACTTTAATACTTACCCTGGCTGTGGTTTATTGAATTTCAATGAAATTGGCTACAGTGCTCAAGCTGGGTTCAGATTCGTGCATATCAATTACCTAATTTGCATGGTAGTAAACTATAGGTTTTTTCTGGATATATCTGGAATCGATTTCTTCCACTCATCTGCAACAAATTATATACCCACAATGCACCATTCAAATTAAACTTAAACTCTGCATAGCTCCTGTGAGAGTACAGAATATTCACAAGCGTTGTTTTTTATATAAAAAAAAGCGTATCTAGGAAATGAATGTGCACAACAGTCACTGAAGAAGCAACGGCAAAAGAGGTTAGGATCATCAGTCTGCAGATGTTCTGCACTGAAGTACCATGACGACCAAACAAGTACATGCATATTTTCATTGGAAACTTGTTCTTTTAATTAAAGCAAGAGAGGTCATCACCTGGGCATGCGTGGAAATTGAGTCCCAAGCGACGATAACATGCTCTAAAAACCCAAAGGCTCATGGGTAGACGCTTGTTAGTAAACAGTGTCATGCTATGGCCATCCGACGCTTTCAATTTTTACACAAGCAAGGACCAGGCTTCTAGCCAGCCATCTGTCTGTCATTTTAGACAGGTACTCCACAAATTCCATTTGACAGGTAAACCTGTCTTTTTAGTAAGTTTCCTATAATATCAAAATAACCATAAATATTCAACAATATGGCTGCAGACCAGCAACTGCTATTTTTTATTTCGATATAAAGTTTCAAGAAAAGCACCAACCCTGGCACGGACTTTTTCAAATTTGGACAAAGTTCACATTTACATGCCTAGATGAGTAGATCACATAAACAATAGCATTTTAAAAGTTTGGTTGAAACCAATTCCAAGCACATGTCTAATTATAACTAAACCTATCTAATCACAGTAGCATATCAGTGGATGACAAGATACACATGTAACAAATTTTCTTAAAAATAGAAAAACAAAATATTTTTTTTTTATCTGGGCACAGAAAAAAAAAATACAGAAAAGCTTTCCAAACACCAAGAGATTTTCTCCATTAGGTGATCATTGCTTGAGCAAACGTATCCAGGTTTCTGTACATTACAGAGTGATTTTAAAGTTTTACTTTTGTAAAGTGGAAAATAGCATATCCCGATTCATACATATTAATTTATTATACATTAATATATTTGTCTTCGTGCAGGTTGTAAACTGCTATGCAGAGAGTAAATCAGTGCAGTTGTATTCATATGCAGAGTGTCAAGACAACCGTACATAACAAGACTTGTGTGATAATAGCGGTAACAATGGGAGGAATGATCTGGGTTAGTTTCAAACTGACGTGTGCGATGATGAGAAGAAATATCCCATTATTTTCTGACCTTGCATATCCTGTTTGTACCCTATTTCAGAAAACATGAATGAAATACATCATAAAAAATACAATACAGTTACCGTAGCGTGTTTACATTTGTGCAAAATATATACTTTATATAATGCTTAAATAGTTATTGATGTGTGTACTAGCATGGAATTTCACTACAACAAAAAATTAACTTTGAACATTTCCACACTGTCAATATTTTCAGTCTCTTTTCTTACTTTCAAAAATTCTAATGAAATAGGCAATCCAGCATGCAAAGTATAAAATGCGTTATTTCGGTTTCTCGCTATATTAGTATTTCTCTGAATGATGTTATCAGTTGATGTGAGAAATCTTTCATATTCGTTGAAGAGAAAACATTCATGACCTGCGTTTTTAAAGTTCTTCTCGCATTCCTCATCTTCAAGTGTTCCTATCTGATGTTTCAAGCTAAAGTTATTTTCATATTGTTGAACATGTAGAGGCTCGTCCTCAGTATTATGATGCGTTTGTACATGTCGTTTGAATGTACATGATCGAATAAAGCTCTTCTGACATTGTAAGCATTGGAATGGCTTCTTACCAGTATGTGTTACCATGTGCTTTTTTAGTTGACTTGACCAGCTAAAACTCATCTTACACAGCTGACAATGATGAGGTTTCACACCAGTATGTACTCGCATATGTTGTTTTAATGTATGCGATCGAATAAAGCTTTTCTGACATTGTAAGCACTGAAATGGATTCTTACCAGTATGTGTTACCATGTGCTCTTTTAATTGACTTGACCAGCTAAAACTCATCTTGCACAGCTGACAATGATGAGGTTTATCACCAGTATGTACTCGCATATGTTGTTTTAATGTATGCGATCGATTAAAGCTCTTCTGACATTGTAAGCACTGAAATGGATTCTTACCAGTATGTGTTACCATGTGCTCTTTTAGTTGACTTGACCAGCTAAAACTCATCTTGCACAGCTGACAATGATGAGGTTTATCACCAGTATGTACTCGCATATGTTGTTTTAATGTATGCAATCTAATAAAACACTTCTGACATTCTTGGCAATGAAATGGTTTATCTCTAGTATGTGATGTCATGTGTTCCTTCAGCAGACTTGGCCAGCTAAAACTCTTTTCACACTGTTGGCATTGAAAAGGTGTATCACCTGTGTGCAATCGCATGTGCTGGCCTAGTTGACCTGACTCTCTGAATCTCCTCTCACATAGCTGGCAATGAAAGGGTTTTTCACCTGTATGTGTTCGCATGTGTTGTTTTAGCTGATCCGACCTGCTAAAACTCTTCTTGCACTGTTGGCATTGAAAAGGTTTATCACCTGTGTGCAATTGCATGTGCTGGCCTAGTTGACCTGACTGCCTGAATCTCCTCTCACATAGCTGGCAATGAAAAGGTTTTTCACCTGTATGTGTTCGCATGTGCTGTTTTAGCTGACTTGGCAAACAAAACCTCTTGTCACATAATTGGCAATGAAATGGTGTATCACCGGTATGTGTTCGCATGTGCATTTTTAAACCACTTAACCAGCTAAATCTCTTCTCGCATAGCTGGCAATTAAAAAGTTTTTCTCCTTTATGTCTTTGTATGTGATTTTTTAGATGACTTGGTCTGGCAAAACTCTTTCCACATTGCTGGCAATGAAAAGCTTTTACGCCTTTATGTATTTGCATATGTTGTTTTAGATAACCTGGCAAGCTGAATCTCATTTCACATAGCGGGCAATGAAAAGGTCGATCACCTGTATCTTGTGGGCGTGATACAGTGGTTAGCATATTTTCCATGTTTGATCCCTGCAGACTACGGCTTCATTCTCTCATAAAAACTGGCGCTTTCACTGTAATTCTTGTTGGGTTCTTTGCTTGTTGATCTAAGTAATCAATAAATGAATTAGTGTTTCTCTAGAATGCTTGAACACTTGTACAGCTATATTTCGTACCATTGAATATTTATCCTTTAGCTAAAACTACTCTTGACTGTTTTAATCAATGTACCAATCTATTCCATCACATGTTGATACAATTAACGGGTTGTGAAGGAGTTCTATTCTTGATACAGACTTTCATCACCATCTCTATTGGCTTGTACGATTAGATCAATACGACTTTAACATCATAAACCTTCACATCATTTCTCTGGCTCGGTTTGTTTAAATTTTTCTTACAGTTCAAATTATTTTGCCTGATCCTGTAAAAAAATACACAAGTGTCCAATAAGTAAACAAGTCATTGTCAATGACGCGTCCCTGTTCCGTTCATATTTGAGTGACATATACATTCAAAGCAGATCATGACCGAAATGCACCTGCATATGTACAACACATTGTACTAAATCTGAACAAAATCCATCCATGCATGACTGAGATCTATTTGTGACATGATGTACCATGTGTGTGTCAAGTTTGAACTTGATCAATCCAGACATGTCTTGGATACAGATTCTTTAAAACAAAATGGCCGCCAGTCGACCATTTCGAACTTGATCCGGGAAAAAAAAATGATGAGCATCAAGGTCCTATTATATTTAATGTATGTACCAAATTTGAACAAAATCCGTCCATGCATAACTGAGATCCGGGTTCGGAATGGTGAAAATGTGCGATTTCAATGCATTTTCGACCTTAAAGAGGTCGCCATTTGGCTATCGTTAATGAAATCATGAAACAAATGCACATACATATTTGTGACATGATGTACCTTGTGTGTGTGAAGTTTGAACTTGATCAATCCAGACATGTCTCTGATACGGATCCAGAACTGAATTCTTTAAAACAAAATGGCCGCCAGTCGGCCATTTCGAACTTGATCCGGAAAAAAAAATAACGTGCATCAAGGTCCTATTATGTTTAATGTATGTACCAAATTTGAACAAAATCCGTCCATGCATAACTGAGATCCGGGTCCGGAATGGTGAAAATGTGCGATTTCAATGCATTTTCGGCACACACACGCCTGACAGAATGATGTAGTTTTTCACTTCCCCCGATGATTTTTTGGCGGTACCAATCAAATTGCAGGAACGTCAGATAGTGACAGCTACCAAAGAGTAGCCATTCACAGCAGAGTTTATTTCTGCCCAATGTTTATCATCTTGTTGTGAGTTTTGCTAACAATGCAAACATGGCTTTTGGTGTTGAAATAAATATTCATTGAAACTCATTGCAAAAAGGCGTGAACATTGTGAATTCGCAGTTCACTTTTGTATTGATCTTGCAGAGGAAACATGCACTATTCTGTCAGGCGTTATTAATAGGGTCTGATGTTGTTTGGCCAGCAAGGGCACCACTCACGCCTACATGTCAAGCCTGTCCTGACCTAGCCTGATCCTGATTTTATTGTTGAGTGTTGTAAACCTGATTTTTTCCCTAAGCCAATTGGGCTGCTCCTGGCATCAATGTCCAAAGACTGTCCCTATATGTTCGAGGTGGGGTGTAGTTGGGGCATAGGTATGTTATCATTGACATACATACATACACGATGTATAAGTAAATGGCCGTGTGGTTGAAACTGGGTCATGGCGTGACAGTGAGGAAGACATCATTAAACACTCACAAAATCACAATAAAACGGGGAAGTGGTTGTATATTACGGCGTAGCCAACATGGGAAATGAAAAATCGCCCAATACAAACGACATGGGTTCGAATCCCACTACATACACACTCACCGGAACAGAAGCAATCAGAAACCAGCAATCGTTTTGGCTTTCCCGTTCAATTCATCGGAACATTGAAGTAGTTAACAAAATGAACACCACTCAACGACCAACGTTGTGGCGTGGTAAACAAGCGTGCCATCGAGATAAAACAAAATTAGCTTGAAAAGGCAGTGGGTTCGAGTCCCTCTCAGAGCTAACGTAAAAACGTAAATCAAATAAACTAAAATCCCTCAAACCGTAACAGGTAAACAAAGAACGTCGCGAAAAATAATAAACCCCACGTAACTCCACCACGCAAAACTGAATGAATAAATAATAATAAAATAACTTGCGTCTTAAAAACTGGAAGACGCGTAATTTGTCCAACAGTTTCCAGATTGTGACAAGAGATAAACAAGACCCAAGTCAAGGTAAGTTTTGTTAAAGTGTCGGTGGCGTTCCCTATATTACGAAAACAATTCAGGCAACAGACGAATATCTTCTGTGGTATTGTGGAATTTATACTGTGTCTGCGGAATTGTTGATTGAGGGTCAGCAGTTAACATTTTGTTAGAAAGTTTCACAATTAAATCAAATATCCAATGATACCAGTATATTTATTTCATTATTTTAACAACTTGCAATGGTGTAAGTTGACCAAACACGAGTTCTTACACCTAAATAAGTATCAAATATTTGTCCACACATTTATTCTATCAATTTAACAACCTTGTAGAGGTGGAAATTAATTAAACGACAGGTAATTACTCACAAATATATGGTCAATATTTGTCCACACATTTATTCAATTTAACAACTTGTAATTGTGAGAATTAATCAAACGCGACTTGTCTACACCAAAATAAATTTCAAATATTTGTCCACACATTTATTTTCACAATTTAACAACTTGTAATGGTGGGAATTAATCAAACGTGACTTGTTTACATCAAAATAAGTATTAAATATTTGTTGAGACATTTATTCTCTCAATTTAACAACTTGTAATTGTGGGAATTAATCAAACGCGACTTGTCTACACCAAAATAAGTTTCAAATATTTTTCCACTCATTTATTTTCACAATTTAACAATTTGTAATGGTGGAACACAGTCCCTCTAACCCCGGTCTAGAAA